AAGGCATTGATTCTCGCACGAATCTCATTGCTTTCTTCTCCTTCCATCATCAACCTCCTTATGGCTTCTGCAATCTCTTCCTTCTCCACAATCCCATTCTTATTGACATTTACCTTTGGCCACACAGCCACCTTTAATCCATTGGTCAGCAAAACGGCGTTCATCCTCTGTTCTGCAAAAAGTGGCCACGGTATAAACGGCACGCCATGAACAATACCCTCAAGCGTTGAGTTCCAACCACAGTGACTTAAGAATCCACCAACTGAACCGTGTCTAAGAATTTGAATCTGTGGTGCCCATGAAGGAATAACCAAACCTCGTTCTTTAGTTCTCTCCAGAAACCCTTCTGGTAAGAAATCAAGAGGATTCTGATTTGAGGTATCAAGATAAGCAGCACTAGAAACTTTACTTGGGGATCTCAGAACCCATAAGAATCTTGTTTCGCTTAGTTCCAATCCGTGAGCCAGTTCATTGATCTGATCTTGAGACAGGGTCCCACCACTCCCAAACGAGACATAGAGAACAGATTTAGGTGGGTGATTGTTCAACCATGTTAAACAATCGAAGCGATCTGATCCGTTTGTGTCGTTGCTTGACCCACTTTGTATAATGGGTCCGACAGGAAAAACCTGAGGCTTCTTCTTCTTCCCTTGGATTTCTTCTCTTAAAGATCTTATGGTCCCTGGTTCTAATTCTTCAAAGCTGTTGAAGAGAACTCCATCTGCAAGACTGAACTTTCTGGATCGTTCTAGAAACATCTTGTAGGGTGAGCTGGACCGATCCTGAAACACCCTAGGAAGATCTCTCCCATGAATCGGAAGACAACCTGGGATCTCTACCGGTTCCTTAAGGTCTCTGAACTCTGAAGAAACCGTTTCATCCAGAAGTAATGAATAATAATAAAGTGAAAACACCATAGCAGCTTGTGGAAGGTATATGTAAGAGAAGACGTTGAGTTCTGAAGCGAAGGCTAGAGAATCTACGGCAAAAATATCAACAACAAAAGCTGCGAGGCCATCTCTGGATTTCATGGACTTCAGTTCGTTGTGGATATATGGAAGTGATAAAGTCACTGTGCCTTCGATTTGGAATGCTAGAATATCGGGTTGAGAAATTCTCTCTTTGGGAATTGGTTGGAGTAAAATGTAATGGATGTTTGAAGGAAGAGATTGAAGGCAGGCTATGGAGGAAGGCGAGTGAGATCCGAAGGCTGGAACGATGCAGGTGACATGAAAATCTGGATGAAGATGAACAAGTCGCTTGGAGAATTCAAGAATCGGAACAAGATGGCTGAATCCTGGACTGGCTATGACGGCGATTTGAGTTGTTTTCTCCATTATGGGTTGATTAGCTCTCAATAAGGCCTTCCCTTTTGTGCTTAAACGCTCTGCATATGTTTTTGTAGAGAAGAAACTGAAAGAATTGGATTCTCTTCACTATCCTTCCCATCCTCTTTCCCTCCATTATGGAATTGGATTCTCTCCACTATCTTTCTCATCCTCTTCCCCTCCACTGTCCTCCTTTTCTCTTCACAACCATTAGATCAAAACTCCAATAATCCAGATTTAATATTTTATAACATTTTATAAAAATAAATATTATGATAAAAAATAAATAAATAAATTTAAACTGTTAAAATCTAATTTGAACAGTTTATAACTACAGGCTGTTATGATGGAGCAAATTTTTTTTCAATTCTTTTATTACAATTGTGAACTGTTCAGATCATATTTTAACAGTTTAAATTTATTTATTTATTTTTTTAATGACATTATTTTTATAAGATGTTAAATCTGGACCATTAGAATTTTGATCCAATAGTTGTGAAGAGAAAAGAAGAATAGTGGAGGGGAAGAGGATGGGAAGGGTAATGGAAAGAATCCAAGTCCGTGCTGTGCATGTTGTTGCATCCCCACGTTAAACCAAGCGCTGGGTGCTGTTACGCACCGCCATCTGCAATTGACTCCGGACTTAGATTCTTAGGGGAGAGAATCCAATTCCATGTTACGCGCTGCCATCTGCAATTGACTCCGGACTTGGATTCTTAGTGGAGAGAATCCAATTCCATGTTACGCGCCGCCATCTGCAATTTACTCCGGACTTGGATTCTTAGTGGAGAGAATCCAATTTCATGTTACGCGCCGCCATCTGCAATTGACTCCGGACTGGGATTCTTAGTGGAGAGAATCTAATTCCATGTTACACACCGCCATCTGTCGGAGAGAATCCAATTCCAATTGACTCCAGCTAGACTCATGGAAGCCTTGCGTTTGAACTTGCGTCATCCTGATTCCACCAGCCGCCTCTCCTGACAGTGTCGAGGGAGTTAATCTTAAAATTAATTTAAAAATGGGACCATGCCTCCGCTTGTCTTATTGATTTCTGCTTTATTTTTTAATATTATATCTCATATTTACCCTATAAACTATATTTGTTTCCTTTCATTATAGGGACACCTGGAACTGACTTCAATACTTGCACAGAAATCTGTGCCTTTTAAATACAATTTTAACAATTTAGATTATAACCTACGTGAAAAAACTATAAATACACAATCATACTTTATCTGAAGTATTTTCCTATGTATATTTAATAATGTGTAGGTCATGAGCAGTAACTTTCTATAGGAGAACCATCCTAGTCAGTTTCGGACTTGGATTCTCTCCACTACCCTTCCTATCCTCTTCCCCTCCACTATCCTCTTTTTTTCTTCACAACCATTGGATCAAAATTCTAATGGTCCAGATTTAACATCTTATAAAAATAATGTCATTAAAAAAATAAATAAATAAATTTAAACTGTTAAAATATGATCTGAACAGTTCACAATTGTAATAAAAGAATTGAAAAAAAATTTGCTCTATCATAACAGCCTGTAGTTATGAACTGTTCAAATTAGATTTTAACAGTTTAAATTTATTTATTTATTTTTTATCATAATATTTATTTTTATAAAATGTTATAAAATATTAAATCTGGATTATTGGAGTTTTGATCTAATGGTTGTGAAGAGAAAAGGAGGATAGTGGAGGGGAAGAGGATGGAAAGGATAGTGGAGAGAATCCAATTCTTGCACAGTAGTGGGTTGGCTTTGATTTGGATTAGCTTGGGCTCAGATACAGTTAAAAAGGGAGGTTTAAAATACCAATGGTTCAGTGTATGACGTTAGAAGTGAGTATTTGATTTTTCAGTTTAGTTTTGGATGATAATTGAATTAACTAAATAATCAAATAGAATTAATTTTAAATACTAAATTGAAACCTATTAACCAAATTAATTGAAACTGAATTAACCAAAATATTTTGGTTTGGTTATTCTGTTAACCGAATATATAAATGTCAAAATGATTTTAAATTAAAAAATATAATAAAACACAATTACAACCATTAATTAATTATATTTCATTATTTCATATGATTTATTATAATAATATTTATTATAACCATATTTATTAAATATAAATATATTTAAAGAGCTCACTTACACCCATATGTATTTATTATAATAATATTTATTAAATATAAATATATTATACATTTGTTTCGGTTTTTGGTTTTAACCGAATTTTTTTAATAACTGAACTAGACACTAAAAACCGAATTGTTAAAAAATAAAAACTGAATAGGTAATCAAAAATTGAAATAATCGAATCACAAAACTGAAATTGAATTTATTCTGGTTCGATTTTCAGTTACGGTTCAGTTTTGCTCCCTTCTATTTAGTACTCATATTTAGTATTCGATAGTATCTCGAACTGGATTGTCTATGTATAAAACAGAAAAACCAATGGTTTAGTCCAAAACCCAAAATTAGAAGACATTTAAGTGGATATTTATAAATTTTATATTATTATTACTTTTTATTAGGAAAAATGACATGAAAAAAACAAACCTTGAAATTATGGAATGCCAAATTGATACACTGAAATTCAATAATTCCTCTTAGGTGTGAAATCTCAAAATGGGATTTTAAAATTCAAGAAAAAATACTTCTTTTTTTTTTTTTTAAAGAAAAAAGAAAGTTCTCAAGACCATGGGATTTTGATTTACTATCAAAGTATTGCAAAATAATACACATGCGCGCGCGCACATGTATATTATATATGATGACTATATGCTAACTACTTCACTTTGACTACAAGTCATTTATAACTTTTTGTTTAGCTATTCACTTATATTTTATTAGCTATTAACAAATTTTATTAATAATTAACAATAACAATGCCTCTCTTTTAAACTTTTGTTTAGCTATTTCTATATTTTATTAACTACGAACAAATCTTATTTAATACTCCTCCGGTCCTAATTATAAGACCCAATTGATTTATTTGAGGAGATTAATGAAGTAAGTTAAGTTGGTTATTTATAATAAATAAGTGTTGTCATTCCTAAAATATCCTTGCTAATTAAGTATATTGGCTAAAACTATCATTATTAGAAGGATTATCTTGGAAAAAAATGCATAAATATAAGAGACAAAATGGATTGGGTCTTATAATTAGGACCAAATAAAAAGTCAAATTGGGTCTTATAATAAGGACCGGAGGAGTAATTAACAATGCTACCAATTTTGCAACTTTTGTTTAGTGATACGTTACGTCCATTTCATTGGTTATTTATAACTTTTGTAATTAAAGGACTCCATTGATTTATAAAAATTTTAAAAAAAAGACATGATTTTTGATTGCTGAACAAGAGTGACACTCTCGTTCCGTAATGAAGGAAAGAAAGTGTCATACAAAAAGGGCACTACAATATTAGTCAGGTTGCTACGCCTTGCAATAATTCTACATAAAACTACTAAACATATAGGAAGATCAATTTCAAATAATTTGTTTTTCCAAACTGAGTTCAGTTAAATTTTAAAGTAACTAAATAAGAGTTTGGAACACCCTAAAGTAATTCAAATGAAATATAAACAAGCGTCACCAACTCTCTACTCCAGTACAATTTTACAATTATCTAATCCAATTAAATACACTCAAGAACATTTAATTCTAATTAAGCACAAACAAATCCGTCAGGAACTTTCTTCCCACAAGAATTAACAACCAAACTAAGAGCAACAGGAACTTTGAGATTATTTCCCAGCACATTGGCTTTAATGGCTGTGCACAGACACAGTGCAGCTTCAAGATCTGCAAGGCCCTTCACAACAGTGCAGCATTTCTCACTTGGTTTGCTCCCAATAACCTCAGTCACTAACCCCAACCAGCTTCCACAGACCCCAAACTTAAGTGTATCCATGGGGCATTTCTCTGCAGCCTTCGATGCAGAAGAAGAAGACGAAGAAGAACAAGAAGTGTTTGGAGGGCACGCGAGATTGTAACCCGCAACACAATGGAAGAAGATAAGGAAAAATGAGAGGATAATATTTGCAGATAGCTTTGGATTCATCATTTTCTCTCACTCACTTGAAGTTTATGTTATGGCTTTGGAATTATTTTATAGCTCTAAAGGATATTATTGTGACTATTTTGCTTGTGGAAGTTGTGTGGCTAGGTTTGAACCGTATATGGATATGGTTGCTGATTTAGATTGCTGTGTTGTTGGCATCAAGCACGAGGAAAAACCACAGCTTTTGTTATATAAATCATTTTCCGTATTTTGTTTTGTTCCCTTCTCTTTCTTTTTCCTTAAAATCGTGTGAATTTGATTTAAATGGTGAACAGACATAAACTAATTCCCTTTTTTCTTTTTGTAGCATAAGTTGTTGGTTTACGCCTAGTTCACCCTTGGTAAATTAAAACCCAAGCCCATCTAAGTTTGAAGCGCAAATAAGCGTGGAAAAAAATGTATGACGCAAAAGTCTTGTACTTTTCCTCTCTTCTTATTTTAAATCTTTACGTAAAAGTCTTGTACTTTCCCCCTCTACTTATTTGAAATCTTTATTATGAGTCCCACAAGTATCGTGAAGTTTATAAGTTTAAGAGATTTTCCTTCCTAATATGTTAGTCTTTTAGGATAAGACTTTCCTTTCGATCTTATACTTATCACATTGGTGATTTCATTAAGACTCAACCAATCAAAGAGAGCCACCTGCAGAGGGTTTTGACCAATAGGAAACAGAGTGAAATGCCGTAGAGTTGAGCACCCGGGAACTTCGGCCTTCGGGGGAGTGCATTGTTATGAGTCCTACGCTAGGGAGTCTTATAAGTGTTCTAGGGTTTATAAGTTTAATACACTCTCTCTTATAATAGATTAGTCTTTTCAGATTGAGAGCTCTCCCTTTAAACTTACACTCATTACAATCTTGGTGGGATCAATTTTACTTAGGGCTGCTCATGAAACAGGATGGGGACAAGCCCATCCCGATAAATAAGGATGGGACACGAAATCTGTCTAATGTCCCGTCCTGTCCTGTATTTTTCTTTTGTTTTTTTTAACATTTTTTGCCTTGCAGGTAGAGCCGGGAATCAGGGCCAGCCCTTCAGGGCTGGCGGGCTTAAAAGGGCCGGCCCTCCAGGGTTGAAATTTTAAAAATACCCCAATTTGCTAGGCCCGGCCCTTAAACTACAGGGCCAGGGCCGGCCCACGGGCTTTTGGCCCGTTTAAGAAAAAATAATATTTTTTATATTTATCATATTTTTTATAAAAATATAAAAATAAAACAATGAAATTATTAATAAAAGACATAAATATGAATAAAATTAAGTAACAAATATAAAATATTATCATATATAAATATTCATCAACATCTAAGAACATCTAAAACATTCATTAACAAGATAACAACATCTAAAAGTTTTATCTATAATGCAATTGTGCAATAAATAAACACTATCATTAATCTTTTGAAACTTCATCATCACTATAATTAATTATTTTTCTTCATAAGTATGCTTTTCTTTCGTAACAAAAATATCAATTTTTCTTCTTTATAAGAATTTTATTTTTAAATTTTGCAATCTAACTATTATTTTACTTTAATGTGAGAAATACTGTTGTTGAAACTCATGAATTTCTAATTCAAATTATAGAATCACAAGTTATATAAGTATAAAAATATTCTATTATCAAATATATATATAGTTTAAAAATATCAACGCATATAATATAAATCAAATCATTATTAAAGTCCAAATTAATCCATTTTTTAAAAATTTAATTGGATAAATTATTGTCTAAAACTAAATTTAATTTTAAAATGATAATAATAACTAAATATTTGAAATATTATTAACAATGTAAGAAATTAATAACATTAATATTATATAAAAAATTAAAAAATTAAAAAAATTATAAAAGGGCTTAAAAGGGCCGGCCCGCGGCCCTCCAGGGTCGGCCCTTTTAAGCCCTCGGCCCTCCAGGGCTTATTTCTCATTTTAAGAGAAAAATATCAAGCCCGACCGTCATAATTTCAGGGTCTAAAAGGGCCGGCCCGACGGGCTCGGCCCGTTTTCCCGGCTCTACTTGCAGGTGGGCTGTTCAATGGATCTTTTTTGTTTTAAATTTTTTGGGCTTGACCCTTTTAAAAGTATCTTTTTTGTTTCTTTGCTTAAGGGATCTATCTGAAGAACAAAATAGCGTTGTGGCTGATTGGGTTGGTAATGGTACGTGGGATTTTTCAAAGTTGCTTCATGTGGTTCAGGTCAAACGTTTTTGCTAGCCTTACCAGTGTTATGCCCCCTTTTGATTCTGCTGGGGAGGATGTTTTAGAAAGCTTCAAAGGCTGGTATATTCGGTATAAAGAGTGCTTATTTTCTTATCGAGGAGAATCCTACTACTCTCTATAGCTCGATTTATAGACTTATTTGGAAATGGAGAGGTGCTGAAAGGGTTCGGGTGTTCATTTGGAGAGTCCTTCATGGTAGACTTCCTGCAAATCTTTGGAGTAGTAGATGGTCCAATGTTCTACTTTGTGCTCTTAATGCCTCAATGATGTGGAAAGCATTTTACCTGTTCTTAGGGACTGTGACTATGCAAAATCTGTGGGGAACTCTCTTGTGGATCATAAATATGTGAATAGATTTTTTTTCCCGACATCTTTGAGAGAGTGGATTAATGCCCTAATCTTCAGGTAAACATGGGTCTTGATGGGAATGATGATTGGAATTTGGGCCGGGGATTTTCATTATGGAAGCTTTGGCTTTGGAGGAATAAAGCAACTTTTAATGCTAATTTTGTAAATCCTATAGATTCTCCTGCTGTGATCAATCATAGCTGGCAGAATTTTACAGTTGTGACTGAACCAATAAAACATGCTGTGAAGGAGTCTACGGCTTGCTCTGTTTCTTGGTCTCCTCTACCTCAAGGATGGTTCAAATTAAATGTTGACTGTGCTGTTTCAAAATCCTCCAAGAAAGCTGGTTGTGGAGGTGTTATTAGAGACCGTTGTGGGAATTGGATTGTTGGTTTCTCTTTTCAGATTGGTTCATGCAGTGTGTCCTTGAGGCTGAAGCTTGGGCCATATTTAAGGGCTTGAAGTTAGCTTGGGATTTTGGATTCAAGAAGGTTATACTTGAATCTGATGCAAAGGCTTTGACTGATTATCTAGCTGAGAATGATCCCACCTACTGCTGTAGCCTTTTGTTGATGCAGATTCATAGTTTGCTGAAGTACAAGTGGAAGATCAAGCTGTGCTCTATTGGAAGGCAGGCTAATGAAGTTGCTGATGCTCTAGCCAAACAGGGGATCTCTGTTTCCTTCTATTTTGATATCTGTCCGAGTGATATGAGAATTTTAGTGAAAAAGGATTGTTTGGGTTTTAATCCCAAGGAGTTTTCTTTAGGTTGTTTTCTGATGTACCAAAAAAAAAATAATGATAATTAGTAGCATAATAATTCTAGAATTTATTTGGGTTAATGCAAATTTTTGTCCCTTAAATTTGTCTTCATTTTGATTTTAGCCCATCAAATTTCAAACCATAAGTTTTGGTCCTTCAAGTTTATTTTTATTTATAACATTGGCTTTTATAATCTAATAAAAATTTGGACCATTTTGCCTTTTGAGGTACCAAAACCTATGGTTTGAAATTTGAGAGACCAAAACCAAAATAAAAATAAATTTGAGTGATTAAAATTTATAGTAACCCTTCTTTTCAAACATATGTCTGAATAAAATATTTCTTCCTGCCTTTACCACCAGCTTAATAAGCTGCATTATAGCAAAAAATTAAAATTTTCTAAGCTGCTTCTCTGGACTACGCTTTGAAGAAGATGACGACATGAATTATACATCTTCCAATACAAAAAGTTTTGCATTTGGGGAAAATTAGTATTTAAGTATCCAACAATTATAATATGATAAAAAAAAGAAAAATACTACTACCCCATCCCATCTCAATCCTATTTTTGGTCTAATTTTGATTTGTCCCGTTTCAAAAAATTTTGAGACCTGTCCCAATATGGTCGGAATCACGATAGGCCTACTTTGAACATTCTTAGTTTTCCCTGTAGTCACGTGGAGTGTGTATATTGGCGTATGGGAGGCTAGAGAACAAAATCTACTCTCACATTGGAACTCTCTCCACAAGTATAGTGTGTGTATATTCTTTTGCCTAATACGTATTTTTTCAAAAAGGAAAAAAAGTGTTCTGTTTTCGATGATCTCATAGGAAAATTATAATTTCCTAACACAGGTTATTGCACCAATTCTTAAACGATTCATTTATAGACTATTAGCATATTTTACAAGAAACCTTTAATACACCTCAATTTTTCCCACTTCCCAAATGTTTTTCTTCTCTTATTTCTTTTATCACTAGATTTTTACATAAAATGAGTGAAATTTTCATATCTCATGAGTAAAAGATAGTGCTGTTTTCAATTTTTTTTAATGATTTTTCAAGAAATTTGCATATAAATTAAAAAGAAACTAAACAAATTGTAGAGTACCTTTTCTTTGAAAAATCATAAAAAATTGAAAATAGTACATTTTTTGTCCATAAGATATTAAAATTTCATTCATTTTATGCAGAATTTAATCATAAAAAGAAGCAAAAAAACATATTTGGAAAGTACAAGAAAATTGAAGGGTAATAAAAAGAGCAGCAGAGATGGGGCAGTTGACTCCCAAATTCGATTCAGCTAGTGTGAAAAAGCCTTTATGCCGCACTAGCGGTTGTTGGACGCAAACGGGCAACTGCTGTGGGCGTCACAATTGACTATTTAAAGGCCAATAGTTGATTAGTAGCAGATGGAACAACCAGACAATGTTTTCCACACAATAATCGACCCGTTTGCAATTCTTATCAGTCAGCTGCTCTATTTAGTTAATTGGGCATACATTATTCAACGTTCCAACTCGGAATTCGACAAATGATCTGCTGATGATAGAATTGTACGTGATAAGTGTCTAGTTTGTCAATAAAACAAGTTTTATATTACCAAAGTTATTATTATTGGTGTAATAGGGTTAATATAATACTCCTCCGGTCCTTAATATATAGCGTAATTATT